CCGAAAGTAAAGTTGTATTTATCGACGGGACAACAGGTAGAAAGATAACTTTTGGCGAATTTAAAAGGGATACAAAAAGATTTGCTGCTGGATTGCACGATAAAGCTGGATTCAAACGAGGAGATGTCTTGACAATCATTTCGCCTAACCAGGTGATAAACCGAAATAACTTACGAGAACTAAATTTTACATCCTTTTTTAGCTGAAATCTAATATGTTTTTCCGTCAAAGGTTGATTATCCCATTGTAATATTTGGTGCGATCGCCGCGGGTAAGCATTACATGAAGAGGTCATATGTAATTCATGCTCTAATCCTAACCTTTTTTATTTTCACAGGTGGTAAGGTGTCCACTGCGAATCCAACATACACCGCCCATGATCTGTCATTCCAATTTACCGACTCTGGAACTTCTATAATTATCACCCATCCTTTATGCCTGTCTGCAACTATTAAAGCTGCTGACGAAGCCCAGATTCCTCATTCCAAGATATTTTTAATAAGTGATAATGAGGTCAATGGATTTCAACCATATTACACATTATTCGTCGATCGAGAATTCGAGCCCATAGAGTACTCGCCGGAAGAGGCTAAGAACACCACCGCATTTTTATGTTATAGTTCGGGCACTACTGGGAAAAATAAAGGCGTCGAGATCACTCACACCAATATAGTCGCAAACTTGAAGCAAATAGTTTCATTTGAGTTGGAGCTTGGCCCCAAAAATATTTTTATGGGAGTATTGGTATACTATGTTATCTTTAATATTACCCTTTTTCATTAATGAGATAATATACCCATTACTATTATGATTAATTTATTATTTTTCATATTTCATTATTTTTGTTCACAGCCATTCTTCCATATTTACGGTTTAACCATCCTGCTCCATTTTGCTTTGATCTTGGTAAGCTATCAACCCGACATCGTTGTAAAGGTTAACTAATCAAATCAAATCATAACAGTATATTTTTTATTTTATTTTTAAAAGGGTGGCACGACGGTATCGATTCCAAAGTTTGAATTAGAAACATTCTGCCGCGTAATACAGGATTATAAGGTCAACTACGCTTACCTCGTGCCTCCAATAATTCTACTATTGGTCAAAAATCCAATTGTTAAACAGTATGACCTGTCGAGTTTGCAAATGATAGTCAGCTCAGCCGCTCCTCTTAGTAGATCGTTGGCTGATGATATGCTTAGCGTTCATAATATTCCTGTCAAACAAGGATATGGTAATTATGG